TTGACGGACCACCGGAGTGCCGAGCCTGGTGATGGCGGCGTGCGCCCGCCCTTGGGAGACGCCAGCCCCGAGAGCCACTTAGCACCCGGGAGGCCGCGACGGAGGGATTCGGGGCTGCCCGAGCAGCCCTCGAGGCAGGCGACCCGAGTGGCGCGAGGGCGCCGTAATGCAACGGTTAGGAGCTGCTCAGGTTTCGCTTCGTCGCCCACGGATACAATTTGCGGCAGCACTCAGACTAGACCGAGAGCCTCTCATTTTCACGGCAGTTAAAGACGCCTGGTGGCTTCTTGTTGGCAGCTCGTTCCTCCTGTGATCCCGAGCGCCGTCGCCTGTAATCACTCGCTTCCTGCGTCGTTCGTCAGTCGGGAGCTGGGCCGGCCGGAGCACGGCCAACCTCTGCGGCATCGAACTAATTGGAAAATTAGAACGCGGTGCGCTCGGAGGGCGGAGGAACGCCGTGAATGCGCAACGCGCACCCAACACACTTCGCGGACGACCAGACTTTGGCCCGCTGGATCCGGCTGGAGTCGTGCGCTTGGGCCTCGCTGGCCCGCTCGCCGCGGGATGCACCCCCCCCCCCCCCCCCCCCCCCCCCCACCTGCTCCTGGACTCTCTCGTCGGGCGCCGCGGCTGCTTGCCTGCGCTTGGTTTGCGCGCCCACCGCTGTTTCTTCGGCCCCTCTGCATACATTAGCGGCGAACAAACGAATATCGATAGCCTGGAGACTTCCCGCGGTCTGGATTCTCGCGACATCTCAACGCAGATGGGCTTCCCCGAAGGGCCGCGTACCGACTCAATTATAGGAATCGCCGCCGTTTCCAACATCTGTGTACAGTGTACTGTCCAAATCGGAGCGGCTTTTGAGCGGTGGAACCCCTTTACAGCCGGGCTTATCTATAGTTCGTTTGCCACCGAGTCGCCTTTGTCGCTCAGGCAGTCAATCGGTTTGATTGTTGGCGCAAGAAATAATGTTTCGTTTTAAAAGCGTTCAGATTTCACGAAAAGGGGGCTCGGTCATCGATTTCAGTTGTCATTTCGTGTTTCTTGTTTTCTTTCCTCACGGCAGGGAGACATTCGAACTTGACAGATGCGCCGGTCTTATCCCTTCATTTTCGATATAATGTCAAGGAGAAAAAAAAATAAAAAATAAAGACCAGAGGGGAGAGGAAGATCCATAGGCGGCGCCTTTCAGCGCAAGACGCGCGCTTCCGCCGAACGAAAAGCGACTCCGAAAATCGCGGTTTGAACAAATAAAACAAGATATGAACGGTCACCAAGTATCGAACTCTGGCTCGTTCGCCCGCGCTCGTGCGCGTGGATGAACACGTCTCATAAAATTTTGTTTGACAATGTCGGAGGCGAAGAAACGAGAAGGAAACGTCAGGCGTTGCTTACACAGAGTTGTAAAAGGAGCACAGGAACATGCCATTCGTAAATAGAGACCCCCGAAAGGAACCTTTTGCCGCTTGATGCATGCTCACGCCGGCAACAAGAAAAGGCCATAGAGGCGACAGAGGAGTCGTGTCTCGCCGCAGCCCAGCAAGTCGTCAATGTAGGTCCAGCGACAATGGGCCGGGGTGTGAGCACGGAGGGAGTGTTCTCGCGAATCCATTCTGCTTGTGACCGCGAACTAAGGAAAGGCGGCGCCCCGAACAAAGGCTGCGGTGCCGGACTTCAGCCTGACCAGTTCGGTCTCGCGTCGCACGCTCCCCACCCTGCCCCCCTTCCCTGCGAACCCCTCTCTCGGCGGCCTGATTTATTCACCGGCATCCACGAGCTCATAACGGTTGCTGTCACAAGAAAGACCGAACAGATTCCAGTTTTTTTTTCTTTTTTCTCCGGGTTCCAGACAGACAGGACACGTTTCCAAGAAAAAGAGTCACGGAAGCCAAGTTTTGTTAAGATATACTCTTCCTTGGTATCAGAGAACTTGTTTCGAGACGGGGTGTCCTATCTTGAACATGCCAACACGAAGAAATGATTGGAAATATGATTCCTATGTTCGCTAGATTGAATTAGCCGTGGCACGCGTGTTTTGCGCCTACGAAATCAAAAAAAGAAAAAAACTTTGAATGTGCATTACGTTGAAATAGCCTCACCCCGCGTTCCGAAATCCTGTCCATAAACCTAGCCGCTCTGATAACAACCGGGCTGCAAGCGCGACCAATGGCATGCAATGACCCGCGATATCTGTCCGCAGCCTCTGACGACACATTATTTATAGACGGTAGGTATTTTTTGCGTTGTTAGCTCCGAGCTCGGGCAAAGACGTCGCCGCGGTGGCTTTTATCATCACCCAAGAGCTCACAAATGACATGTGATGTGGTATTTCGGATGTTTGCTTTGCCGTAGATTACTGTCTGCCAAGAAAGACAAATTGAACGTTGCTGCTTGGTTTTCTGTTTTCGTCGAGTTCTTGACACATTACCAAGCCTAACCTTTTCTTTTTTTCCTCAGCTATAGGCGCAAACCACCGTGCCCGAGCGCCCGAAACTTATCCTCTCTAGTGGGCATGAACGAGATATGGTTCTGCCGCAATATCTCGCGGCAGCTCCAGGCTCCACGAGGACAGGGTTCAGAATTCTTCAGATACTTCCTCCGGATGCCGTAGCGCGTCCAGGTACACGAAAGCCTAGGCAGGCGGACAGGATATTAGCCATTAGAGATAATTTCTCCACCCTCCGCCTCCCATGCCCTCTCTTCCTGTCTCCTTATCTCGGAATTTCATTGGCGGTCCCTGGGGACTTTTTACAGGTGGCTCAGAATTTTTCGGGGGCAGAGAACTGTGCGCAGTGTTCTTCGCTAAAACGCTGAGACTGCACGGAGCGCAAGTTTGTCTGCTTCTTGCACGGGGGTTGCGATATGATGTCAGAAGGCCGAGATCTTATCGGCTGATTGAAAGGAAAGAAATAGTGGATGAAATAGTAGAAATAGTGGACTTCATCGAGGCATCGAGCATTGAGGTCTACCCACTATCTTTTCGATCAAAACCAATCACAGCTCGGCGTCGTTTTGACGTCACCGCAACTCCTGCGCATGAAGCAGACGACTTGCTCTCCGCATACAGTCACTGACAGGGTGAGAACGGCAGGGAGGAGCTTAAGTTGTCCCGCCTCTGGCGCGAAATGTTTGACGACGCTTCGGCGTCTCCCCGAGCGCGCGCGCGCAGCCAAAGCACGGCGGAAGGCGTGGAGCGCGTGCTCGACGCCGGGCGTTCGAAAGACACGCCCTTCTGTTCTTATTCTCTCTGTGACTATAGCCGTAGAGCGCCTAGGAGGGAGACTCGTCGTGTTGTGAACTCTTTGTTTTGAGGCCTTTGGCGTTTTTCATTGTCCCTTTTCCGCCCAGCCGATTTACGTCACTGAACAATAAACAAGGTTTCCACCGAGAACTAATAGAGGCTCGATCATTGTCCCAAGAAAACAAAAATTAAATCAGTCGTCAAGATCTCTACATGCTTGAATTATTGGTGATATAAACGCTATTCACAAAAATTAACGCTGAAATCGGGAAACAACAAAAAAAAAAAAAAGGTCAGCATTTAAACGTTGCGGGCGAATTGTTATTCCCCTGTAGCGTTATTTAACGAAGCGCCATCTGCAAAAACACGCTTCACCGCTGAAAAGAACCGCGTCAATAACCGGACTTCGTTGATAGTGCCACTTTCTTCCGGAGACGGAAACATTAACCGAACCTATAAAGGAGTTCTTTTATTCCTAATCTGAAAATGCAATATTGAAGAAACTTGTAACAGCAGACTCGACTCATCGGCACACGTGACTGTTCTCCTCGCAGGTTTCACGTGAACGGGAAGCAGAGTGAGGTCAGTGAGGTGGCATAAATAGGTTAAGCGTTGACTGGCCTTGCATGTATACACAGCCTCGACTGCACTGCGAGATTTGAAAGACCTTGAAACCATTCAATATGCAGCATAATACTGGCATAGCCGAGAAAAAACTAAGGAGACCGAAACTCTCTCTCCCGTCCCCCTCCCTCCGCCCCCCCCCCCTCCCCCTTTCTAAACTCCTTCTCCACTCAAACGAAATTTCGGTATCATACCTTGCCTTTGGGGTTTTATTTTCTACAATAACTTTTCTATTGCCACCGGAGAAGCTAATAGAAGACGTGGCTTGTTTTAAATTTCCGAAGTTCTCCCGGAGTAGCATTCCTACTACAGAATTCCCTCGGTTGGCTCAAAGGCTACTAATTCTTTATTCCTTTATTGAAAATCTCAAGCTACACCCATGAAGGGAAACGTAATATTTTTTTGTTTGTTTGTTTATAAACCATTTTAATAACGCCTGTTGTCAGAAAGGATCTAATAAAATTTCGGAAAGAAGCAAAACTGCCCTAGCAGGGATATTTTCACTAAACCATTTCAGTGTTTTGTACATATTCAAGCGCATGTATACAACGACACCCATAGACCTGTTGCAAAAAAATACAGTGCCGTCCGCAGCCTCGAAACGAATGCCGGGAACGATAGGTAAGAACCGGCTGCGCTGCAGTAGAAAACGAAGTCAACGAAGGAAACGCGGGCGGGCGGGCGGGCGTGGGCAGCGAAGCAAATGCGCTACCTTTTGTTTCTAGCTCTCTCTCTCTTTCTTTCTCTCTGCGGGGGCAAGAAAGAGCGTACAGGAGTTCGCGAGCGGTCTTTTGGGATTTTCGCAAGACGGACCATTTGCTTTTGCGAGGAAGCGACAAACGCAGTCGTCTAGCGTCTTCAAAAACCGACACTGAGAACAGTCTTTTAGCCTGTTACTTTTAATTTCACCACTTGCCTAGTATCATCCATGCTCATATCTGACCCTCTGAGCCATGTGCCGTCGTTGACCACCTCAGCGCGCTTTTCGTTTTCGGCGGCGCTTGCTCGAAAGAGTCCGGGGAGACTTCGGAGGGGCTCGTCGAAGGTCCCGACGCCTTGGGCGACCAAAAGTCGGGGCACGCCCACTTCACACACCTCACGGCGGCCGAGGTTGTTTTCGCACCCAAAGGGGCGCCACCCCAAAGGGAGTCTTCAGAAAAAAGCCTCGATGCCACGACAGTAGCGCCAGTGGGTTCTTCGCACGACGCCATGCACCGCCATCAGGAGGCCAGGAAACGCGTCCTCGAACAACTTCTCCGGTTGCCGGATGTAGGACTGCGCCTCCGTCGACCTAAAGAAAAAAAACAACAACACCCGTAGGTATTAACTTGGGAAAAGTTGGACGTAATCAGGCAATACTGCATCCATTCTCGCGAAGAAAAACAACATGTATAGAGAAGAAAGTTTAGAAATAACGCCGGCTTTTATGAGGATTTAAGAAAACGAAATTTTGGCACGATCCCAGCCTCAAAAAGTGTCCACTGCGCCTAAAACTTCCTCTCCATATTTTTTCTCCTTTATTCGTTTAGAAATGATGATTGCTCCACCAACACCACCTAGACGACAAGGCCACGGAAAATTACATGTTCCGTGTGCAATCGTTGGCGTTGCCTCGGAAATAGTGATTTCTTAGACTGACGTTTTATTTTATAGAGAATAAAAATATAGGACCTCCATATGCTTTCTACCTTTAAGGATAGTTCAAACCGCACCTTGAAGGCTTTGTTTCTACTAGATTTGTTGACTATAGAAGGGTCCATAGCGGAAAATAACTTCGTTGAGCAGACGTCGAGGCGGAAGGCGGCATGATTGAAACTTCTCGTATATTCTCTGTTTAAGAAAGCTCTTTCTGTGAGTACCGTCTCCATCCATAGCAGTAAAGATTATAGTGGCCTTATTTTTTAAAATTATTTATTCAATACTACTAGCTCCATTTTGGCTGCCAGGGCAGGAGTGGTTACATACAGTTTTTATTTTTATTTTTTATACATGTGACATCTCATGAGGAACAAAAGCATCAGCAAGAGAAACCAATAGGGCATATAGTACATACAATTGATAGAATGGGTAAAAAAGAAAACTGCTACACTCAGGAGTGAAGATAGCAACTATAAGACCAAACAAAGTTATTGGCAGGGGACATAAACATAGGGTGCCACAATCGCCGGTAAGAAATGACAAAAATAGCGGGGTGTTGCTGTGAACTTCATTCTCGAAGAGATAATGGAAAATAAAAGTAAAATAAACTCACTTTACTCACAAGTAGGTACCAATAGAACGTACAAAGACATCCTGGGATGTTGTACCGACCACGTCACGCGAAAGATCGCTCCATTCGGTTATCGTTCTCGGAAAAAAAGGAAACCGATATGGGCGTTTGTCCTGCATTGAGGCATCAGCATCGTTTTATTGTGTTGATTCCTAGTCGGTCGCGCTGTGCTAAATTGCATATAGTCGGGGAAATTCAGTCCTGTCTGGTTATCGACTACGTTAAAGAGGAGCTTTAGTCGATGACGCTGGCGGCGGGATTTTAATGTAGGAGCCCAGAACGGTTCAGAGTTCTGTCACCGAGACGTTTCTACCATAAGCGTGATAAGTGAATCGAAGCGCCTTCCTCTGTACGCGCTCGATGCATTCGGTATCGGTTTTTGTGTGGCGGTCCCAGATAATGTCACCGTACTCTAGTAGTGGTCTTACAAGAGATATGTAGGCTACCAACTTTGTTTTGCTAGTGTAATGTTTTAGCCGGTGTCTTAACAACCATAACCCTTTTCTAGCCGCCGAGACAATTCTAATAATGTTGTTCTTCGAACTTAGATTAGAAGTTATAATTATTTTAGGTAGTTAAACTGTGTGACTAGGCTAATCTCAGTATTATTCATATATCTGTACCTGAGCGGTCGTTTTTTTGCGTGTAATAGTCATATGTGTGCACTTAGCGGTATTTAAACTCATTTGCCAAGATTGCCACCATCCGGAAACGGCTGCTAGGAAATCATTTAGAGTTACCTGGTCGCCTGTAGACCATATACTATATATATAGCTAAATACGCACTGCAATCCTCTACAAAAAACAAAAAAAATCCGGCAGCGGACAGGTGAGTTGTATGCCAAGTCGTTGAAATAAATTAGGAAGGGAAGTGAGGGACTCCTGAAAGAATTGGTGGCAGAGGCGATTTGGTCCTGTCTATTTTAACGGATAAGTACGAGTCAAGCCACCGAAGACTTTGGTCGTTTTTTTTAGTAAATGTCGAAGTTTTAACATTATGTTATAGTGAGACACCCGTTCAAAAGGTTTTTCAAAATCCCCCCAAAACGGCATCGATTTTTCCGCCCTTGTCCAGAATGGACACAATTTCGTTGCTCGTGTGGAGTAGCTGGGCGACTGTTGAAAAGCCACGTCGAAAACCGCGCTGGCTACCCAAGAAAGAGTTCTTGTTCTCTAAGAGGGTACTTAGGTTCCATTTCATTACTCGCAATACTCAACAAGAATATTGGCGATAGTTAGAAACGGGGAACTTATCACCCGCTTTACGGACAGGGGTTACTCTAGCGATTTTCCAGTCTTCGGGCACTTATGCTTTTTGTAAGCGTTTGCTGAAAACGATATGGAGGTATTTCGTGCACCTTTCGGCATATCTGTAAAAAAATGCGTTTGGTATTTTGTCTGGCCTGGTCGACGTCTTTGTGTCTAAGTGAAGCAGAGCAGAGAAGATTCCCACCTCGTTGATAATCAGGTCTGGCACTTCAATACCAGCGCCTTGAAACTCGCACAAAAGCATTACAAGCAGAGTTTCGTGAGCACATGAAGTGTGAATTGATTCGAAATTTCCGATTCTTTTGGGCGGCTACATTTGACTATGTCGTTGTCATTTTTAATATTGTATGCTGAACGGTGACAAAAGTGCTGAATTAATCTTGTTACATTTTAGACCCGATCACTTTGCACCCGGATTAATACACTTTTCATATGGCAGCTGTAAATTCCCAACATCACCGTAATAAACATGAATCTTTGATAATATTCGTTCAGTGCTCTCAAATAAACATGCAAACAAAAATATATATAAAAAAACGTTTTGGGAATATTTTTTTTGTCATATGCACGAAACAAGAACAATGAACTTGAAAAAAAATATTCACCGAAAAAACCAAAAATTTAATTTTGCGATTAAAAAACAAAAACAAACAAAAAAAAAACCGTCAAATTTGAAGAAATAAAAAACGCACACACACACACACGAAAGCTTCAAACCCTGGTATACTTTTTCCCCTGTCCTAGAGGTCAGCAACTTTTTGTGCAACCTGTAAAAACCGATAGACGCCTTTTTTTCATTATTTTTTCAAGCAAAAAACTGCACAAGTCACCATAACTGTGGATTGAAAAAAACAAAAAAAAAAACAACAACAACAGAAGTCATGGGCTTGTTTGCAGAATTTGTGGGCTCAAAGGTCGCATAACGAGATTAAAATGTGCGCTTTTTCTCGAATCGTTCCCGCCGCGGAGGTTATAGTCGGATAAACAAGTCGTCATATTAGAATACATGTTTTACGTCAGTGTTTACCGAACTCTGGGTCGCGACCCCAAGGGGTGCTGCATAGTGACTCAAGAACTAAAAAAAAAAAAAAAAAAACTGGCTTCTTTGCGGTAAGGTCAATAAAAGCATACAGGTCGCAGCTCAACACCAATCAGAAACTGAGACTTGCGGTGTGGAAACTCAGCCCTCGTTTTGAGAAACTGCGCTCTAACAAACAAGCTCACTTTAGTTGTTATAAAAACAGTCATTTCTGCTGGCCTGTGTTCATTTCTCGATGGTTTCGGGCCCCGCCGATTCATTCTATTCAATAAAATGTCAGTGCCAATACTGCGTATTACCGCATACAAGCACTAAAATCGAAGGTGGCATGCATCGCCACAAGCCGAGGGGGTCGCGCCGCGCCACGCCGCGATATTTTTGTTTTTGGTGGGTCGAAGGGTAGCAGATTGGGAAGCACCGTTTTACGTGACTCGAAATCGGTGTCTGGGAAGTAAGGTCAGAAAATCAAATATATCTTAGCTCGGTGTTTTTACAGGTGTTAACCATGGTAGAGTCTCTACTTGTAAGTATAGTTTATTTATCCAAGCCTTCTGTCGCCTTTGCCAATAAAAAAAAAAAAAAACTTTTTAAAGAAAGAGCAGCTTTGAAATCTATTTTAAGTCGAACCGGCTGATCTATTAAGTTTATTTTTTATCCCGCTAATTAGGAGTATAAAAAGAAAAACAGCAGTCATTTTACTTGCCCAGGAAAGAACTATCATAAAAAAAAAAAGAATGAAAAATGCCGCTCTTAAAGCTTCTGGCCTCCCTGCATCTTCCAGCTTATCCAATATATATATACATTCGTTCGTCGCCAAGAATAGCTGCGCTACAGTTCAGGTTCTCGGTGGAATCTAGGCGTAATCTGTTTTCAGACTCTATATACAATTTTAGCGCGGTCACATCATATTTATCGGGCCTTCTGCACGATAGTATATATCTCAAACATGCTGTAAAATACCAACGAAACGCACATAACAATTTGTTATGCTTACAAATGCGTGCAATGTTTTTTTTTTCTCTTCTTATAAACCTATTTTGAAAACGCTGTACAGCAATATTTGAGAATTCTTCAAGGGTCTGTTGACGGCACATTCTAATGTAATAAATCTCCGGGAAACATTTTTTTTTTTAAACTGTGAGTTAGATTTCTGCTCTGTAATACAAATCCCGGTCGCTTTTCTTCTCGTTTGTGTTCAATTTGCAGTCTCTATAGCTCGGCTCTGCCAGGATATACGTAGCGTGAGCTTATGCGCACGAAATGAGAGGCGCTATCAAGTGGCTCCGGTGCAGCGTCAGACTTGGCTACTGCGCAACGGAGGCGCACAGCTGGGCACGCGCCGGCGCCAGTGCGTTTGCCGCGGCTATGATGTCACTCCTCCGGAATGCCCAGACCGTCGAGGCGGGCGCGGCGGCGGCTCCGGCGCGCCAGCTGTGCACCGTGTGAGGTCACTGCTCCTCGCGCATGCGCATCACGGCTCTTTGGGAGCCACGCGAAACCAGGGTGTCGAACCGGAACCGAACCGAACCGAAAACCGGAACAGAACCGTTATTTTTAGCCGAACCGGAACTGAACCGAACCGAAATCTTCGCCGCCATCCTGGAACTGAACCGGAACGGAACCGGAAAAAAATATAACGGTAACCGGTTCAAAACGGTTCACGGTAATTTTTTTTTGTTAGTATTACAAATTTATTATTTGGGAATAAAAAATT